TTTGTTGTCCTGTATTTTCTGCAGGTCTTTCAGCTCTTTCCATCGAGCTTGGCACTGTTCGACGGAATATCCAACCCGTCGGGCAACAAAGATCCAATTTGGTCGGAGCTTGGGGTTGCTTTTGAGCTCGACGAGGCGACAGTCAGCGTCCCCATCCCAGGTGTCCCAGTCCGCCTGTGGGTTGAGTGGTGGCGGTGGGGGTTGTTTGCGCTTGCGAGCTGGCCGGAGCTGTGGTGGAGGGGAAGGAGAAGGTGTATCATCTGAGTGGTTCGGGGGTGGTGGTGGTGGACGAGCACGTGGTCTGGAAGGTGCAGAGTCACAGGAAGAGGTTGGAGAGGGTAAGTTGATGGAGTATGTTGGAGGTGGTGGTAGTTGTTGAAAATGTCGGCGGAAAGTGGGATCAGCCTGTCGAATGTGGTGCAAAAACCGTGTGTGAAGATGTGCCATAATGTCGGTTGCTTGTCTGAGGAGGTTGTGAATCTGCGAAAGAGCCACTGTCGTTTGGTGTAGTAAAGTGTGGGCGTCATCGCGTGGAGGGGAGTTGTTGCTGGTCATGTCTTTGGGATGCTGATCAGTCAAATAGTTCTGCACAAGTTATCGCTGCGGCGTGGCGATCGGCTGCACGGCAGCTGGCATGATCAGCGCAACAGCACGGACAAGAATCAAACGCAACAAGAAAGAGTGGTAGTTCCCTTACAAACTCTTCGGCATGAAAGTGAGGTTGGCATATGACACATGATTCATGCAAAATGAAACTTTGAAGCCGCTGCACAAACGCAAGTAGTAGTGTTTTGCTGCTGGTGACGAAGTTGAGTGTGGTCAGGTGAAACAAAAGTTGGGAGTGATGGTTGCGTGGTAGTGGACAGTGGAAAGGTCATGGATCCGGTGGAGTGGCGTTGATGGACCAGGCCAGTCCTTTGACGCCGTGGCGTGGTCTGGGTGGATGACCCAGCATTTGCCTTTCTGGTGAAAGACAGCTCCGTGGTGCTCGTTCAGCAGGGTCATGGCGTATTCCTCGCCGCCAGAGGTGTATTTGGTGGCGGCGCCCCACGCGAGAAGCGTGAGGATGAGGGAATGGGTGGTTTTGGCGAGCTGCCAGGTGTTGTGAATAACGCGGGCAAATTCGCCATGATCGTGGTTTTGGTCGTGGGTGATGCGTACGCCCTGGGCAAAGAAGCCAGGGTAGTTGGCAAAGTGGAGTGTGCTCGGGAGGAAGTGGCCTTGGCGTAGAATGTCAACAGGGCCTGTGTGGCCGGCATTGATGCGCGCAACTTCCCTGTGGGTGGAAGTGGCACGGGAGACGGGTGGTGGTGTGGGGTGGGTGGCTTTGGTGTGGAGGAAAGGTAGTGAGATGGCGTGGTATTGGAAATGATCCCATTGCTGAGTGGTTTCATTCCACTTGACATAAGTGTATTGTCGAAAGTCGTTGAGCTCTTTGTATGTGATGTTGCTGTCAAACAGGAGATTGGCAAGGTATTGGTGTTGAGGGCGGTTGGAGGCATCGAGCTGGTCGGCATGGAAATCGAGCCAGGCAAGAATCTGCTCTTTTGGTGGTGGAGTTGAAAAAGTTGGTGAAGGTCGCCATCGGTTGGGTGGTCGACGGAGCGTTGGTGGAAATCTGGAAGTGTCCGTGTTAGTGTTGTCTGCTGTGGAGGCATCGGTAGTGGGGCGTAGATCAATGGGTTGCCTGGAGCGGCTGCGGTGTGGAGGAGTAGGAGTAAGTGGATGTGGTCGGCGAGCGATGTCGCCGAGAGGAAGTGTGATGTCTAGTGGATTTGGAGTGATGGCGATGTCGCCGCCGGCGGCGGTGTCTGTGCCGGCCACTTCTGTGATGGTCGCTCTTGCGCCGGCCTCGGTGGTGGTGGCGGCGACTGCTGTGAGGTGGATGTGGAGATGGTGGCATGGGTGAAGCTGTGTTGTCTGGTATGTTAGTGATGGGTTCTGGGGCCACTGAGGCTGGTGGGGCCGATGCGATGGAAGGTGATGGAGAAGGTAGTGAAACGGTGGCAGTGGCTGGTTGATTGGGTGCTGGGGTGGCGGGATCCAGTGACTGGTGTGGTGGTGGAATCTGCGGTGAGTCACTGAGGGCCAATTGGGGTTGTGGTGGAGGTGAATGCACAGGTTGTGTAACGGGAGGAAATGCTGAATAAGGCTGCCAGACCCCTTGTGGCATGTGCCACTGGGGTTCAATTGTAGTGGTAGGTGAGAGCATTTGCTGAGGTGGGGGGGCAGTTTGAATTGGTGTAGCGGTGGCTTGATCTGGGGAGGGGGAGTGGTGCAGCTGTTGCACAAGGTAGGACGGGGGTGATGCCGGTGGTTGAAACGTGGGTTGTGGCAGCGTGAATTGTGGTTGAGAAGGGGTTACCATCGTCCATGTGGCGGGATGGCCATAAGGAGGGGCAACTGCCGGTGCTGAGTGACAGGGAAGTGGAGTGGGAATTGACATAGGTTGAGGAGCTGGAAGTGTCTGATGTTGCGGTACAGGGTATGGTGGAGGTTGTGGGTAAGGAAATGCTGGTGTGGCATGTGGCTGTGGCAAAGGTGCTGTCTGTTGCGGCGGTGGTTGTGTTGATGGAACGGGTAGTGGAGGTGGTATGGCTTGTGGATACGGCCAGGGGTACTGCATGATGTGTCCAATAAAAGGTTGGTGAAAAAATGGCGCGGCGCGGCAGCTGAAACTGCGAGCGTTGGAATCGTGTGAGTTAGAGGTCGTAATGCTTGCGTTGATGTTTATTCGGTGTAGGTGTGAAGCAGTGAGAGTTGTCTTGCCTGTATAAAGTGTTGGTGTGTTCATGCATATCGAATTAAAAAGTTTGAAAGTCAAGTCGATTCGCTTGAGCGTTCATGCAGAAAACAGGCGGAAAAATGCATTGAGATCTTGCACAAAAACGATGCACGTTGAAACGGTCAGGTCCCGTGGTAAGGCCCAGCGGCCATGGTAGCGGTTGATTCTGTGGGAGTGTAGGTGAGTTCCAGTGAAGTTCCTGTGAGCGGTGGTAAGTTCAGTGAATGCTTTCCCAATGAAACAGCGCCCCAATGACGGGGATCACACTGTGCGATCGATGTGAATCGGGCAGCTTCCTGACTCATGCGCACTCACACTTGGATGCTGAGACGCCGTGCCATCTGAAACTGGGCCTGGCTATATCAGATGTCGTGGCTCATGTGGTTGGAGGACAAGGCCTGCTGCTGCGTCTGTGTGTTTTCTGTCCTTGATGACACATAGTTGCCTGCGCTTGTCAGCACCCGAGTGGGACGGCTGAGCGAAAACACACTCTGACAATTGTATTCAGGTATCTCAATTCCCACGTTGGGAAGGAAGGTGAGGGAAACGTAAGGTGAAAGAGTCAGCGCAACTGAAATGTTTAACAATCTGTTCACGCGGTTGAACGACTGCGGCTGAAAAGCGGCTGTGGGAAACTTGTTGTTGTGAGAGTATCGTGAAGAACCATGGAAACCAACAAACAGCGGCAGGGTGGACCATTGGAGTCAGTGTGTTGAAAGCAGGTACAGGAAGGTGATCAGCCTTCCCTTCCCATCCATGACCGCAGCTTCGTTGCACACGGTAGGTCATGGATGCCGTGTGCCCCTGCTAGTGAAACAATTGGCAGTGGAGGTCAAGAAAGGAAACCCTTTGACCAGGGGGCGACACACACACACATCAAGCAGCCCTGCCAAGCAGTTTCGCGATTCCAGCCCCTCCAAACAACACCCGGCCCCACACGCCAATCCCAATGTCACAGCGACATTCACCTCCCCCACATCTCGCAACCTCCTCCGCCACACCTCGCAACCTCACGATTCCCTGCGCCTGCCATGAAAACTGCACTTCCACACTTCAATACCCGCACACAGTACTGCGCCGGCCACGAAAAGTGACAATATCAGATCATGTATGATCATATTAATGTTGGTTTCAGCAAAACTTGCACATGCACCACACGGTTGGAATGATTTCGACACGTTCTGAGTACACTCCCAGCAACCAAAATCGCCATTTGAGCTGAGACTTATCACGAAAGCAGCCTCATCCAACGCTCCAAAACCACCACCCTACAAATGCCGATCCCGAAGAAACCTGCTGCAAATCTCACAAAACCCCGCGCCTGCACCGTGAATTCATCCTCCAGACTTCATCGTCTCACGTTTCCACACGTTTCCTCGCTATTTCACGAATCTGACACGTCACGCTTTCATCCAACACCCTCTCCAACAGCTTTGCCCAATCTCAGCGCCATAGCGCTCCACCTGCGGACGGTCGCGAACAAGGCTCTACCCCCAGACCCCCAGAGTTAAACGAGAAACCTTCGCTACGCATTCGGGGAAACTGAAGATAGTTCAGCCCAACTCACTCCAGTAGGTCTGCAGCTTGGAAAGACCTTGTTATTTGTTGGCAAAGTTACCCACATTTTGCATATACCCCCTTGCAAGTATTGCCGAACTTGCCTACTTGCTATTGCTGGACTCTCAGTTTTCACGCAAGCACTTAACAAGCTTTCCACATGTTGAGGGGGTATAGCTGGATAGCTGATGGCTGCCTGTTAAGTGCTGACATTGAGCCCAGGCAATCTTCACAGCCGGGTGGCAGAGGTTCCAAAAACGGAGAAAAACTGATCAAAATTGACTAGATTGGTGATGATTTTTTTCAACACCAAGAGCTCCACTGCTGCCTGACCACTCACGACAGTGTGGTTTCGCAACCCGCCCGTTCCGTTCCAAACTGTAAATGCGGTTGAAAAACCTGACCATAACCTGTGGCGTGCAGTGCAGTGCTCCACCTGGACGCGTGGCCGTACCAGCACGTAGCTGCCCACACGCACGTATTTCCTACAGTCATATAATTTTTGTAACATTTTGTAATTAACCCTCACTCGGACGTTCTCTTCGAAGCTTCTTTTGAACAGACGTCCTTCCGCACCCGATTGTGAATTGTGTATCTTGAAGATCGCTAATCGGCTTCCCCTTCGCTTGTTTCCACACAACGTGGATCCGATGCCAAGGCGCGCGTGGCTTCGCTTTTTGCAATTTTACCACACCAGAAGCTGCGCAGCAGTTCTTTCGCCAGGTCCACAGTGAGAAACGCAGTTGGAAAGCATGGAGTAAAGGTCAGGTTTTTGCTCTGGAGGATATTGATTGCTGGAGGGGAAGGTTGCATTCAGCTTGAGGGGGGCATAGCGGGTTAGTTTGAAGACGCCTGAGGTACTTATCACAAGTCCCATCTCAAGAGTTTTGACTCAGACCAGCCTTTGGAGGCGATCGACATTCGGGAGACAGGGTACATGTAAGCCATTTTGTCGAGTGTGAGTTGGAATTGGCGGCGGTGAGTGGAACCCATTTGCAGTTTGTTCAGGATCCGATATGAACAACGTTTGGACCGAAACAATCTGAAACATTGAAGTCATGGATCGATATCTATAACTTAATAATGTATTGGTCAGACGACCGTGCAAGAGCGCGGGCTGCATCTATTTGGGTTTGCGAGGGCTCGTTGCTCACCTTTCGTTCGAAATAGAACGCAGGGTTGCTTCAAGGACTCCTCATGAAACACAAAGCTCATGAATAGTAATCGTGAATAGCCCAATTTGATCACCCTTGGAGCAAATCGACCCAAGCTGGCCAGGTCATGGCTGCTGAGATTCAAGGATTTGAAGCAAATGCAGAGCACTACTTGGTGGTGAAGGCCATGAACTTGGATTGTCGACACAGATGTTCCTAGTGTGGCACACATTGATGGAAGTGCTCATCAACGCATCTTATAATCTAAGCCTGCGGTGGGCTGGCTTCCATGAATGTCTGACAGTGGCTTGTGGTGAGGTGTGCTATAGCGTGCCATCGCTCTCGATTCTGGACCTAATTAGTCATAGTAGCGTGTTGTAGCATCAACACCTACGATATCCTACGACCGCTTGGTAGTTGCAGGATGGGATGATTGCAATGACGAACACGGCTTGGAAGTCCAGCTTGTGTTGGCAGTCTTGGCATGGAGGCCATCGCATGGCCTGAATCCTGCAGCACGCACACTGTGAGCTTTGAATTTTGGAGTTGCAGCACTTGACTGCATCACAATGCTCCTTGTAGGTTGCGTGTGACGGTGGCAGGAGCAGCATTCTGTGCAATAATTGCTTAGCCTTCAATGTCACGGTAGAGGCAGACTCGGAATCGTGAGCTTGGGTTGGAGGATGTTGGAGATCTCGAAGGCACAGCGACGCCAGGTCGGAAAGTGTGGTGATTTCTCTGAGAAGCCCCGCCATAGTCCCCGCCATATATAAGTTGCGAGTGCGTCAAGGGCTTGCGTGAGGGAGCAGCCGGTATACGGCTTTAGGAGGTGCGATGGATAGACAGTGCTTGATCGTGTCTTGTAGCACACTCGTATTTGCAGGTCACGAATTGCATTAATGGCAGGCATCCACAGCCTGGCCCGCTTCAAAAGCCCCACTTGATAGATTACACCAACACATGTTACATTTAATTTCAAGATTGCAAACTCAGAGTCACCAGTTCACTCTCTTTTGGATTGCCCGAATTTGGTTGAGGCGGTTGAGGTATTTTACCACAATGATATATAGATTTTGCGAATCTGAGAAATGAATTTTGCCAGAGGGCTTGTTCCACCGAAATGGATATCGATATGCACTGGTAGCTAATGTATAGTGACCAAACAATTGACGGGCACATCTTCACTTGTGTCAGCGGACACTTTAGTGGCTCAAAAGCAAACAATCCACCACATGCTAGTGACTAGTGTCAGTTTGGTTGGTTTCCTATCCACAGTATCAAGATAGATTAAGAACAAGACGCAATCAATTTGGTGATCAATAGCTTATCTTTTTGTGCTCTTTTGTTTTCTGATTGTTATTCCAGGCTAGCCGCAAGGAGAAGGGACGTGACACCTTGGGCTGTCCCACATTTTTGCGGCCTTTGCCCAGGCACGGAGTACCGACGGTACGCTTGCACCCACGTTATAAGTTCTGGATCCTCCCTTGATTCGCAGGTTTACATCTTCGGATTCTGTTTTTGCATGTTTTTGCAGTTTGGGAATTCTCGCAACCGTTCGTGAACTCAAATTTGAGTTTGCAGCTTGACTATGAACGCGCAGGCAATTCCTAAACCAAATTCGCGTTGAAGAGGCGAGCTGCGCTCCTCAAATTGGTGTGCTTCGGAACTCAACTAATCCAGACAACCTGGTCACCAGCTGCCGCTGTAACAGAAGCGACCGGGATCACGAACTTGATAGCCTTTGCACTTGTTGGCACACTGTTCTGTCAGTGCACAAAGTCTGAGGTTACAAAACTGGTTTGATTGGACTTTTCACCAGTATGGTGACAAATGTTCACACAGAATCGCCTCACAAATGTAACGTAGTCAATGTAGTGCCTCTGGCACTATACGAAACATGCTTACCTTATCTTACCTTCTGTGGATACTTGTTGTGACACCATGCCCTGTCGCCACAGGGTGGTGCCGACGCAAGCCACGTTGCAGCAGCCTCCAGTCCGAGTGAGACAAGGCCGGATTCTTTTCAGGAGTCTGAGAGTGTCGAAGATTAGGGCCGTGAAGGGAATTTTGTCAAGAATTAAGATGCATCATCACCAAACATGTCTAAAACTGTAAAATAATGTTATGTTATGTGTTATTCATATAAGATGCTTATTGAGGAGATTACCTTTACTTAACATCTGGTCGCAAGGACCAGATGTTTTAAGATCTTCTTTATCTTGAAGTCTTGGTATGTTTTGGTGATGGTTTGATTCCAGATGGGGAACAGCATTTTGAGGGATTACAAGCTAGATGCAAACAGTTGCCACAGATCGTCTTCGGCGATTCGGAGACTGAAAAGGGATGCTATATACGCTTAGCTTGTGTTGAGATGTTGACAGAATAACTGTTGGAAAGGTGCTTGTAAGATGTTGTGAGCGATCGAATACTTAAGCTCACGAATGTGTTCTTTTGTGTGTGTGACAGAACGGCACAAAGCTCTTTGCTAAGCCAAGCAGAGACTTTTGATGAGAACTCTTGATTCACCAATAGCGATAGCTTGGGGTTGTACACTCTTTAGGCCGCTGGGCGCCGTGTCAGATACACGGCCCCGCCAGGCGGTCATGTCCGGGTGTCTCGGTCATGTTTAGGTGGTGTCTCGGTCATGTCTAGGTCAGGTGGTCTCTCAGTCATGTTTAGGCGATGCTTCGGTCATGCTTAGGCGGTGTCGGTCATGTTTGTGATGTTTCTCGGCCATGTTTCGGTGTGGCCTCAGTCATGTTTGGGCCGTGTCTCGGTCATGTTTAGGTGGTGTCTCCCGGTCACGTTTAGGTCTTGTTTAGGCGGTGTCTCGGTCATGTTAGGTGGTGTTTGGCTCATGCTTGTGTGGTGCGCCGGCTGTGTTATTGAGTTTTTTTGTCTGTTTTCCTGTCTGATGTTTTCATTGTGGCGCACTTATGGTGTGGTTGTGTCTCGATCTGAGTCCTTGTGCGTGTACGAAATGTGCACTTGCATGTGCATACACAAGGCGCACATTGCACGCTGGCGCTCAAACATCACATTGCAGGTGAACGTATCAATTTAGCGTCGACATGTAAATAAACTTCTACGCTCAAGAAGAGCATCCTTTTGTTTTGAATTTAGTACGTTTTGATTGCGAGTTGGCGAGTAAATGCATGTTCTGGTTATGTGCAGATATTCAGGTCGCTTCGCCACGACAAGCGCCGGCATCAGTGGCTCTCAAGAAGGGGCAAAAGAAGATAAATAATCGCTCTATTTTTGGATCCTTTGATGCATTGTTTAGCTGCTAAGTCTTACTTGCATTTTGCCAACATTGTTGGATCTATTTTCCGACCCCTCGAAATTGTACACTTTCACGGGGGCGAAAAATAGAATGATTATGCACAATAGACTGCGCAGTGTGCACGATCGAGACAAGACTTAGAGATGAACGCAGCGTGAAGGGGATAAGCAAATTAAAGAAGTATCTACAATCACTCTGTTTTTGGACCCCCCTTTAAGTTAGTTTAGCTATGCGTTACTTCATCCTGCAAGCATCGTTGGAGATATGCTTTCGACCCCCTTTCAGGGGGTCCAAGTTATATCTGCTGAAAGCTCCACCATGCACACCATACATGCGGCATTTGTGAATGTGCTGCAGCCCTTTTCAAGAGAAGGCAGGTCCTATGGACCTGGAAGGATCTGACACGATCCATCAAGAGCAGCAGACAAAGGAAGTCCCGCTGTTTTTCTCAGGTGTTTGGAGAGAGGTTGAACGTGTTGGGGTGAAGACCATGCCCGGTGAATTTCATGAGAGTCCTGCATCAACAGGTTATGAGCCCAACGCTGGGTAAATCTTCATCGTCTAGAGCATTGGACCCGCCGATGTTGCGCCGTCGCCGCACCTCAAGGGCTGGAGCAGAGGACGATGATCCTCAGGATGAAGAAGCTCATCAAATCATAGGCCAGGAGATGGTGGCCGTTGAAGTCCAGCCTGAAGCCCCTCGAAGGGATGGCCTGGAGATCGTCGAAGCTGCTGGAGAAGAGCCTCTCAGCACACCCACCAGAAGCACCACGGTCAGACAGGATACCGGAACGGGCTTGACCGAAATAGAGACCCTTGAAGGTCCTAGGGGTAAACCCCGTGTCCTGGCACCGCTCAATGCCCCGTCAGGTCAGCCGCCCTTGTTCAGTCAGGATCAACTCAGGTCTGCGCGAGCTCAAGCAATGAAGAAAAGGGTAGGAGGCCAAAGGACGAAGGAAGCAGTGAAGGGTAGGGTGTGAAGAGAAGGTCTCAAAAGGGAAAGGGACCAGAGGTCTATGACCTGGAACATCAAGACCACCTACATGATGCTCAACAAGAAGAACATATCATGTGGAGGTGGCAGATCTCTCAAGAGGTTCGGATATTGACCGAGCTTTGCCATCAACAAAAGTTGGAAAACACCCTGTTGCAACAAGAGCTACGCGAACGAAGGGCTCAAAAAGACCAAAGAGCTCAACAAGAGAAGGAACAAAAGGAATTGGCAACCCACCTTCCGCCTTTGGCGCTCCAGAAGAACAGGTACCCGAGCCGGTCACGCCGAAGCCGCTCGCCGGGGAACGAGGAAGAGCAGCGTGGGGCCATGGCACCAAGACCAAGTATGGCCGCTCAAGATCTAAGGAAGAAAGCAGGCCCAAAAGCCCTACAGTTCCGAAGGGTACTATGGAAGGGAAGGGGCCCAGAAAGGGACCTACAACCTCGACTATTTTTGGGAGAGCTCGACCATCGCCGGAGGTACAACAGATGGAAGTCATGTCCCTCTTGGTTCAAAGCATGAAGTCCCTCCAACTCTTGGGCAAGGGTGTCGAAGTGGTGAGACAGGTTGGTGAACTTAATCCAGTTGGCTGATCTCACATCCACCTCTGATGTATGGTGGGAAAAGATGTGATGACTGAAGTTGAGAAGTGGCACCAGGACCATCAGTCCATGCCACCTTTGGAAAGGGTTTGCCACGAACAAGTTCCTGCATGCCTCAATGTCCCGAAGTGGGCAAAGTTGGAGAGAAGGATGGCTACCCTCCTCTTCAAGTCGATCCCCGAGGTTCAGAAAAATGAATTGGTAGCCACCAAGAGATTGTCGGTGTTTGCTATCTTGGCTCACCTCCATGTCACCTACTGCCCCGGCGGCGTCAGTGAAAAGCAGATGCTCCCGCGCAATCTGGAAGAGCCTGCAGAACCATCCAACTTACATGACGCAGTGGTTGGCCTTCGTCGGTGGCTCCGATGGCGCGCGCGAGATCAAGAGATCGGAGCAACTGAGCCCGATCCTTCAATTTTGGTGAAAGGCCTCAATCGCCTTACAAGAAAGACCTTGGAAGGAAATGAAAGTCTTCGCTTCCCAGTGTCACTGGCTCGCAATGCATTGCAGGTTGACGCGAACCCGAATGCCATGTCGGTCAGCCAGTTTGCCACCCACCTCATCGCGGAGATCGGCCAGCTGTCCTTGGCCGAGAAGCGAAGGGGAGGAGGAAAGAAAGAAGAAACGAAAGTCAAGAAGTTAGATGCTGGCTCAGCGACCAAGAAGGCCAAACGAAATGAAGGGAAGATCAAAGAGATGGAGGTGAAGTCCCCCTGCAAGTTCTTCCTCTCTGAAAGTGGTTGTGGCGTGGCGTGATTGCAAATGGTCACATGACCTAAAAGATGATCAAAAGCGCTGCTACACCTGTGGCTCCACAAAGCATGTGTCACCAGCATGCCCGACGAAGGAATCACCGCCTACTAGTGCTCCAAACTCTCCGCCTAAGGTCAAAAGAGAGAAGGAAGAGAAAAAAGGGGTGAAGGGTGAGGAAGGTGAAAAGGGAAGTGGAGGACAGGAGGATGAAAAGATGGATGAACTCCTGGCTGAGGCCAATCGAATGCTCAAGGTCATGAAATACAGGGAAGCTTCGGAAGCCAAGCTCAGTCGGCTCCATCAACAGTTGGATGAGATCAAGAAGAGCATCAAGACGCTGAAGCTCACAAAAGTCAGAAGATGGGGTTCCAAGGATGATGAAGAATGGGGTCTATTCAACTCTGCAGGGCCACACATCCGCTTCAACAGCCACCGATCGCATTGAGGCTCTGAAGAAGGTGTCGGTCTCGTTAGCTGATGGTCGAACCGTCGAACCACGCCATTGCTGATGACGGATGCAGGTGTTATGGTCACGACGAACTTGGCCGTGGAACCCATTGTGCTTGTTGGAATGGTTGGAGGAGGAGGATGCACGAGCTCGTGGAAGAAGAACGGCGTGAAGGTAGCCCACCCCGCCAAAGGATCCTTGCCCATCAGCATCCAAGCTGGCTGCCCTCAGATTCTTGAAGAGCGAAGCATCGAAGCTAAGCAGGCCCCCATGGCCTGCGAGGTCCGTCCCGACAAGGAGGTGGGTTGGTTGCAGTCTCTTGTTGATGGACACCTAACTCTTGCTAGCTTGCCCGAGCCTCTCAAAAGATCCCTGGTCCTACCTCCGAGGGAGTGACGTGACTTGCCAGCCAATCGTCGCCAACGAAAGCGGTTGAAAGCTGCAGGCTCCATCATCTTGCACCTCTACGAGAAAGAGGGCGCCGCGCTTCAAAAGGCTATGGCAGAACATGGCTTGGGTCCAAGGGCCCTGGAGGTGAATTTTAAAAGGGTGGAGGATCGCAATATGGCCGCTACTGATTCAAAGGCCCAAAGGATGGTGACCTTGCAGCTGTCCTAATTGCAGAACTCAATCTGTGCTCCGACGGAAGGAACCTTGGGGGGGGTTCCTATCGCTGACATGTTTCGAAGCTCAAGGACTCCACGAGCCCGGAAGCTGAAGAAGGAAAAGAAAAGAATGGGACTACGTTCTTGCTCGAACAACCCCAAGGGCTACATGCCTGATTGTGTCTCATATTGGTGAACCGAGGAATGGAAGTCATTGCGGAGAGCTGCCAACCTCGAGGGCTCTACACAGTCAACCTATGGTTGTCCTGCACTTCTTCTAAAGACTGGACATGTTGGCCCCAAGGACTACTACCTGGCTCAAAAGGCTA